TGAATACATGAATTCAAATGCAGCCGTCCACATAGCCCAAAATTCGACAACGCTCACGCCAACACAAAGCAAAAAGATGGCCCACTCTCAACTTTTCGCGTGCGTCGCTCGTCAGCTGTTGCAAATAAATAAGAAATATCGTTTTTAATGCAATTATTGATATGAAATATTAATTTATCTGTCGTTAGTATTTTAATTTAGTGGTCGAAGCATTCGCTGCCAAGCGATCATTGTAGCAAGCATACATTTGACGTGCGTTCTGTCAAACCAACGCCAACGCCAAAGCCAACGCCAAAGTTCTATGTGGACCGGCCTTAAAAATTATGGCGTTCGTATTCACAATGAGAAATCTCAAAATTTTTGTTTGATCTTTCCAAATTTTCTCTCTTTTACCTCCGTTTTATTAGCTCGGGATGTAACTATGTAATATTGATGCGCCTGAAAGATGCAGCGATTTCTATTCTCAAGTTATATACAGTACGAATGGAAATTATAATAGCGAGGTTTTAGTTTTTTAAACTATAAATTTATTTATCAGTTGGCAAAGGCCCTCAGTGGCAGCGCTCCGAGCGTTGAAATAGTAATTTCATGTCAATTAGTAAAAAAGTTCCATGGTGAAAAAAACTTTTTATTATGGTGAGAAAATTTTACATTTCTGCTGTGCCAATTCGTATCTTTTTACTGCTGGGAATTTTTGACAGTTGCTCTCCTGCAAAAGAAGTTGAGCAATTAAAATCCAGAAATTATACAAAAAAGACTTGTCTTTACTGACTTTGATTATTCTAGAAATAAAAGCCATGCATTTATTACACGTCTTAGTAATAACATTAAAACAAAACAATACTTCAAAACCGTCAGGTAGGTGTAATTCTTGCTGTCAAATTTTTCAACAGCCCTGCCGGGTTGAAAATTTTCATTCACCTCATAGTTGTCAAAAATTTACAATCTGGAGTACTTTTCATTCAATTGGCACAGGCCCTTTCACAAAACAGGTTATGAAATGCATTTTATTTAAATCGTTAATAAAATGAGTCATTTATGTATACCATTGTATGTGGAATTATTCAATAAATTTCGTTTTACACTATACTTTTTGAAACTATTTGGAGTTAATTGTTTTTTGTTTCTCAAAAGCAACCCTGCGTGCTTAGAAGGCGTGTGTACCAGTAATTTCATCTCTGGCATATTCATCCCCGAGGAAGGCAGTTACCAAATTCACCGAAGGTTGTTTACTGGTTATATTGTGCTCTAGGGTTGACTTTAGTGTACATCGACATGTGTGTGTGTTTGGCAAAACTATAACGAATTTGCTCATGCAACTTTACGAGGTTGCTAATAGGGCTTTCGCACGAGGTGATTTTTCAGGCAACTTTTGCGTTCAACTCAGGCAGGGTTGCACGAAAAAAAAATTGAATGGCTAAAAATATCAAAATATTCCCCATAAAAAGGCGTTTGCATTGTTCAACTTTGCATTCTACTTATGGTTGAACGGCCTTTCAACTAATCGCTTTCAACAAAGTTGGTCGCCAGCCAACATTTACCCCCTTATTCTAGAACCCGAATTGTCGTAATTCGTAGCTACGCTACGAAAAACCCACATGCTGCAACCCTTGCGGAAACATGTGCAGCATTGCCAGCTATCGGTTGTTTTTCGAAGATAACCGAATGAAGGAAAACAAAGTGGAAAGGAATTAAAAAAACACTCATGAAGTGCTTATTTATAGTAAATTTTTTTGATTTTACATATTTTGAAGGAAACGGTGGATTCTATTCCATTTGCAATTATAGCAGCGGAGTAAGAGCGCGCTATGTGAATGATTTCATAAAGATACGCGGAGCTGTCGGGCATAGTAATCATGGGCGCGTCTATGTCAGCTTCTGGTTGAATTGTTGAACCACAAGCCAGAACTACTCCTATGCTTGAAGAACTGGATCTCAATCCAGTTAATGCATTAAAATCATGCACTTTGTTAGGTCCACCACCTGTTCCACTTGCTTCTGCCTTCAGCCTCGCTTAGGGATTATAACCCTTACTAAGTAGAATTCTCCTTTCTGTGTTGCCGGAGAAGAAGGGCTTCCGCATGTCAAAGGTATACAACACTTCTTGTGCACATCACTCCGGCTACGCCATCCACAGTATTTTTGCGCAGAACCCACGTCGAAATCCGAAAAAAGTGCATAGTGCAAACCGAATTTATTAATATGATAGTGCTCGGAAATTTGAAACATTTATTTTAAATAAAATTTTAATCCTTTGATTACACGTGATGTTAAAGTTTTTGGCAAGGAATGAAACCGAAACCCAAACCGAAACGTTTCGTTTTTCAAAACCGAAACCGAAACCGTAACCGTTATCTTGACCTGAAAAGGAACGATACCGTAACCATTTCAATCACAGGTTTCAATCGGTTTCCAGAAATTTACAAAAACAATAAATACAAATTTCTTTGAAATAAATGATTTATTTAACTAAAATCAGCAACATTTTGCTAAAATTCTAGTTAAGTAGTAAATAAGTATGGCAAGGTAACTTTTCGCAAAAATCTTCTGATGACTTTGTTGTTGTGAATCGATAATCGATTAATTATATTTAAGTAGTTTCTTTCCCGTACGCAATGCGAGATCCCGCGTGTGTCCAAAATAGCCCAGAAATCATGCCTGTACTCAACAAAATGTGTAATAGAGAGCGAAAATTCGAGCGTATTCGATCGTAAGTGTATTCTCCTGCCCGAAACAGCCCGAAATTTTCTCCGAGTAAAAATGGATAAAGTGTCAAAGTGCATATCAGCTGT